TTATATATATATATATATATATATATATATATATATATTAATTAATGATTTTTTTTTGCTTTTCCACTTTTCTCCTTTTCAGTTAATATTGAATGGAGATGGGTACCTTGGGATGACACAACTCAAGAAGATCAGTAGTAAATCACTCTTGAGTCAGTTGACTGAAATTGACAGGTAGAAATCTTTTTCACGATCGCCGTCTGCATTCCTTTATTTTTTGTAATGTGCGGGTTTGCGCAAAATGTAATCCATCAATTTTTTCCTCCTTTCCCTTCTGTTACATCTTCATGAAATGAGAAGGTCTTGCAATTCTGCAATTGGTGGAATCGATTACGAAAGAACAGAAATGAATGTTTTACAGTTTTCTGATCTTTTTTTGACTAAAATAACCATTTTCCCTGGGGCAATTTAACTCACTTTAACATCTGAAATGATTGAAAACATATCCTGGCACATCCTATCGTACGAGTAGACCTTCCTCGTCAAAGCAGAAATGATAATGAAACAGAAATCCTTTGGCTAGATTCCAATTAATGGACACGATAGATATGAGAGAACTAACAGATATCGAGACTCCCTCAAATGGCAGGGTTGGATTTTTCTTTGTCACATTTTCACTTTAAACTATTCTTCGAACTACTACTGTAGCAGTTACAGCTGCTGACAAAATAGTATCATTTTCTTCAAGAGAGAAAACTGCCAGCATTTTCTCGATCCTTTCGATCATCAAATAAACCGAATTGTTGTAAATTCATGGTAATGACCTAATCAGCAAGGTATCATCAATAGTACGTATCAGTAAACAAATTGAGTGAGTGACCCTGAACATGTCTCGTTTAACTGTCATCTACTACCGTCACAAACCACGATCTCTACTTCTGCTAGTATTATCTGCCGTTGTTATTGCTTTGATTGAAATGATTAGACGGAACAGAATTTATATATCATTTCACAAAGAAACTCAGATTTCCGTTAACCGCTTCTTCAATGTATCAATAAACAAAGTTAAACTAAAGTATAAAAGAGAGTTTGTAAAGAGGTAAAATTAAATGGAAAAAAGGAGCAAAACATGGCAGAGTTCAAATTTAGATCTAAAACTCAACCAAAAGAGACATTTTATGCACAAACGATTTGTAAAAAATGGCTATCATCCATTTTACTGTCACTTTATCACAAAGTAATCAATCTACCATCTAAAGGTACCATCTAAATAGATACCATTTAAAGGATGTGAGAATCCACAAATCCCCAAACTTCAGCAACAATGACAGAAATTTTGTCTGTTAAACTTGTAAGGACTGTGAGGGATTGTCATCATCTGTTATAAATGGAATATGTCTTCCCTTGAATTCTCCCATCTAACTTGTTTATTTCAACAATATAATAAGAAAAAAATTAGCGAGTGTATGGGTATTTAGGTCTTAAACTACAGTGTTCCTTTCATCTTCTGGATGTGGCAGATAAACTCGCTTTTATTAGATTGTGCACATAGAGATAAGTAGTCATGATTCCATCAATAGTAGATTAGAGAAATCACTCGAAAGGCATCAATGATATCCTTTTTAATGCCATAACTGGTATGAGTAACCGATCGATTGATAGAATTATCAGGAATAAGATAAAAAAAAGTTCGTTACTTATGATACTCACCGATAACATAAATGGAATCTGTATCCATTTGTGAATGCCATTCTCCTATCATCCACTAACCCCTGGTCAATTGTCCATCATTGATTATTCGGTGTATTACTTTTTCCTTTCAATTAATTTTAACAAGATTATTACATTCGAATCATCTATTAAATCATCGAATCATCTTTCTCAGACGATCTTCTTAAAAAGAAAGAGATACAAACAGATACTGATGGATACAAAGCCATCCTACCACAAACTCACCGCGATCTCCGAACATTACTGAAGTAACCCTTGAGAACAAACAGTAACCAGACTAATCTCTACTTTATTTGACTAACAAATAATTGCCAAGAAATTCCTCCCCACTTCGAATAGAACACGAATTAGAATTTCTAGTTCAACTCTTGGCATCCGACACCTAGCCACGTTGCAATATCAATTTTCGGTCCTTTCTTTAAAAGCACAAATTTGGCTTAATGGCTTTTGTTAATCGGTAAACTGATCAGCGGAAGAGTTTATTCGCAACCATCACGACTTCGTAATTGTCTTTGACAAGTCATAGCTGAAAGCTTGGAATCTGCAGTGGCATGTCAAACTTTATCCCTTTCCCGCCAAAAAAACTAGTTCGAAAATTCACGTACCCAGCACAGTTTTATGGGACGATTTACAGTGAACTATCGTAACCTTCTTTTTAATATTACCCGTACCCAAACAGAAAGAACAGAACAGCAAAATCCACATGGCATTTTTGAAATCTTAGAACACCAAAAATTTTATTGCCAAACAAATTTTGTTAGCAAAAAACAAAAAGAGAAAGGAAGACAACATGCGAAGAATTTACAGAGAATAAATGCACAGGCCATTTAATTCGACTACTTAAAATAACAATAGTTGACGGTAGATTCCTTTTTGAGGCAGAATATGTAGTAGTATCATGAACATTCGCTAGAAAACCAACAGTTTAAGTAGATTTTACAGGGCAGGGAATCAAAAATGATCCTGAAGGTTGAAGATGCGTCTATGCTTAATTACTATAGGATGTATAAATGATGGAATCGCTCATGCTTTTTAATCATCTCCTCCATTCTTCTGAAACTTTAAAATCATATCATTTTAATGCTTCGTGTAACTACTACGATATCGCAAATATCGGTATACCAAAAGTAATTCAAGAATATTAAGTTTCAGTTAATCGTACAACAATGGCGTCTTATACCTCATGGAAACACGGAAATGGACATCTTCAGCACCCAGCTTTTTAATTTGCAGATAATAGATATAAAAACAATGGAAAATATCATAGGTTTCTCATTCTCTCACTCAAAATTGCCGGTTTACGCAGTGAGAAATTATCAGAAAAAATGCCAGGAGACGATTCACAAGTATTTCAGAACCTGTATGAACAATTTAAATGAAACTATCTTGAATAATTTTAACCTTCTTTTGCAGAACTGCAAAAAGAAATGAAATGTATATAGGTGGTCGATTAACAAAGCCATGTAACCGATAAAGCAGCATGTCAACTGTCACAGTGACATTTCAAAGTGGTGTTAAGCTACGATATTTTAGACTGACTTTGGAATGATCATTATTCATTAACATTATATATTCATATATTGATGATAGGTATTCGGCAGATAATAGTGATGGTAAATATTTCAAAGTGGAAATTCTTTCATTTTTTTCCAGCAGCAAAAAAAAGACGCATAGGGGAATGTTACGAATATCCCACAGATCCGGGAAATTTTACTTTTGCATTCTATATGAAATTAGCGCCACTGCAAATTGAGCACCACGATTCTAAAAATCTCGAATGGTTCTAATTTTATACAGTAAAATATTTGTCCAGCTGTGACTCTCTTCTGGAATAAAAGTGGGATGCGGACTTCTTCCCATTCATTTTAGACATCAAAAAGTGTTCATTTGCTATACAAATTCTTCCCCTCTTCAATCTTGATATCAAAAAATTTTAAATCCCATCCACCAATCAATTACCTAGCACCAAAACTGAGCAAAATTCAATTAACCCAAAAATCAGCCTCAGGATTTTAGTTGTAAAGATGAAGGCTTTGTTTGCTTTCTTGGATGATCTGAATTCAATCAAACGAAAAGACTGGATAATAACCCGTTTAACAAATTACACAAATCCGGATGACAGAAAAAGCAAAGAAATTTAGTCATCTCGGCAATTATGGACTGCACTCACTCTGAAATATAACATAGGAGATGGACGACAATAAACGATGTGATCCGAGATCACTGTAGGTCAAGACAAAAACATATATCTTGTAGAAATTTAAATGAAAAAGCAATAGAGATATGGAAGCGCTGAAACGTTTCCTTAAGTGGTATTGCAAACTTTCTAAACTAAACAGCTTGTTACATGAGTTCGTCACCGAGATTTTTCGGTGAAGAGTTGGAACAAAGTCCAAATTTCAGAGGTAGACCAATAAGCGGATAGCTATATATATATATATATATATATATATATATATATATATATATATATATATATATATATATATATATATATATATATATATATATATAT